GTGTGTGTGTGTGTGTGTGTGTGTGTGTGTGTGTGTTTGTGTGTGTGTGTGTGTGTGTGTGTGTGTGTGTGATGTTTAAGTATACTGTAATCCCTAGTTATCAGCTTCACACCAAGACATGACCTCCCTAGGATGCGCTCCAACGCCTCTCTGTCAAATGCACTTACTACAACGGCTGGAGGGCAGACACCGTGCAAGCACACCAACAAGCAAACCAAAAAAGCAAAACAAACAGGTCCCAAGGGGATGCCAAGACCAGGCAAGCATCAGAGCAAAGCAAGCAAAAAGACATCAAGGTATAGGTTGGAGGGCACGGGGGAGGCAGGAAGGCAGACAAAATGCATAAACACAAAACAGGCACACAAGCACACCAAGACCAGGCAAACAAGAAAAGCATCAGAGCAAAGCAAGCAAAACGACATCAAGGCATAGGTTGGAGGGCACGGGGGAGGCAGGACGGCAGACAACATACAAGAACACAAAACAAGCACACAAGCACACCGAGGCAGGCAAACCGAAAAAAAGTACAAGTCCCAAGCAAATCGAAGGACTGAAAAAAATAAAAATAGATGATAAGAAGATTGTTTCGTCGGAATTGCACCGACTCATCAGGAGGAAGAACGCTCGACAATCTGCGGGAATCTCCGTATTAGATGGTTTGGGTCATGAACCCCTTGACCCTTGTTGAAGGCAGACTGTCTCCAAGTGGAACACAGCAGCGGGCGACGAACCTGTGGAGCACCAGGCAACACAGTAGAGGCAACACGACTGCAGAACGTCAAAAACGACCGCAAGGAAGACTTGGCGCGCAGCGTGGAATCACAGAAGGCACGGCCAACGAGGACGGGAACCGGACGACACTTCTTATCTACCGTCTTGTACCGCCTTTGGGAACCCTGCTTGAGCCGTCCCCTAAAAAAAGTCGACTCACAGATTGTGCTTGCGCTGATGCGGGGTTCCTTCCGCTGCCCAGGGGCCGATATACCAGTTCCAACCTTCCTGCCTCGGGGCATTCTAGAACATGTTCCCTCAAGGCCTGGATGGCATCCGGATCTGCCATCTCATGCGCGGCCACCAAGTCCATGGTCTTCCCAACGTCCGATAGGCTGAGGAAAAATGCTTCCACCCTCTCTCCTGCTTTGGGCTCTGCCCGGAGCCTCCGGCGCTGCCTTCCGACTCTTCGATCGTGAATGATCCTGGATTGGGCCGGTTCCTTATACTCCTTGGCCCTGCGTTCCTGCAGGTAATTATTTCGTAATTCCCTCAGGCAGGATCGCATAAGAGGAGGATTAACGTCCCGTCATACTTATTGAATATCACGGTCTCCGTCCTGCTTAGGAATGACCTCCCTAGAAGGATTCTGTGATCTACGTCCGGTATGATGAAGAAGCAAGCCCGGACCTTCACCTTTCCAACCTCGATGAGTACATTCGAGGTTGTCCCACAAAATACGGCCTTGCAGCTGGCTCCGTGCAGAGTACCGCAGTCGGAACGGTCTATATCCAGCCCGAATCTGATCGCGTCCGCCTCCCTAATAATGTTCATCTCTGCCCCTGTGTCCACCATTGCCGCGCACTTGGAACCCTTCACCACCAAATCCACCGTGGCGCAGGCCACGCACTTCCAATCCATCTTTGTGTCTAACTCCGCCCACTCTACCTCCTTAAACAGAATCGTGCCCAGATGGACGTTGGGCACCAAGCGCCGCGACAACCTCCCCTTCAGTTCATCGTGGAGTCGCGGGGCCGACGCTAGGATTTCCTTCAGGGTCATGAGGTCATTATGCTCTTCCAGCAGTCGGTTGATCACTTTCTCCACGTTTAACCCCTCCTCTAATCGAACCGCATACTTCTTCCTTTTGGGCGGTCCGTCGTGTATGAACGGCTCGGCTTCTCCCCTGGCTCCCTTTTTCCTTGCCCGCTGCTCCGCTCTCTGATCCTCCTCCCTGCGCAGCCTCTCGTCCTCTTCCTCCTCATTGTCGTCATCCTCCACTTCCACAGCCTCCTTTCTTTTTTCTGGCTCCTGCTCCCTCCTCGGAGGTTCTTGGCTGGCGCTGGTTTTGGCTTGATTTTTCGTTCGTGCTGCCTATGCCAGCCGGGCCTGCGGAGTAAGGGGTCTCCCCATCATCCTGATGGTGGGCACGATCCCACCACATTTACTCCGGGTCGCCTAAGCGCTGACTCTGGACCGGAGTCGTAGAGGAACACCTTGGGGATGCTAGACTTCCATTTCCTCACTTCCTCACAGAGGCCCACCAACTTCTGTTGGTACCTCCCCGTCTTATCCAGCAGGTCCTCCACTTTCCCCAATAAGACGGACGGAGGTTCCATCCTTTATTCCTCATTTTCGTCATCTGACTCAATGATTATGGGCTCTTCCCCTTTACTTCCTCCTCGTGGCCCTTGAGTCACTTCCTCATCGCTTCCCACTTCCTCTATCCCAATCCGTGGTTCTTCCTTTTCCTGCCATAACCTGAACGTGGCAGGGGATGGCGGCCCAGCTGCCGCCCTTCGTTGGGATTCCGCCCTCACTCCTCCAAGCCTTCTGTCAATGGTCTCCCCAAACTGATCGTAGATGTTCCCATCCATAGTGGAGGAAATCAGCCTGCTCCTCTCGTCTTCCCGTCTTATATTACAAAACCTTATAGTGTGGCCTTGATGGTCATAATGTTGGCAGATGGCCGTCTTCCAATCAAAACGGGGTCTTCCATACCCCTGACTTCCCTGATCCCCCTGGCCTTGATACCCCTGGCCTTGGTACCCTTGGCCTTGGTACCCCTTGCCTTGATTCCCTTGACCTTGGTACCCCTGGCCTTGGTACCCCTGACCTTGATTCCCTTGGCCTTGACCATTCCATTGCCTTCCTCTTCCGCCGCCATTTCTGCCTCGCCCCCTTCCTTCACCCCTCCCTCCGTTGCCTTGATTTTCCTGCCCCTGGTTCCCACCTCCAGCCACGCTTCCCTGTGAACTGGGGGCGGGTGACGGTGGCGGGTCCACAGGCTGGGCCTGGGCTGCGGGGTAGATGGGTGGCGGCATACTCGTTTGCGGTCCGGCTACTGGTGGCGGGCTACCCCATGGTACGATTGCATTGATCACCGGCCGGGGCCACTGTCCGTAGGACGGCACCCCTCCTTGCGAGGGGCCCGTACTTGATGACGGAGCTGCTACATTTGAAGGGGTTGCTGTCAAATCCTGGGGCTCCTGCGCTTTTCCTGATCCCTGACCGCCCTGCGCCAAGTTACGCACTTTGCACTGGACCTTTGTCAGGTGTTGCGGCACCGACTCTTCCTCTTCCCAGAGTTCTTCTTGAACAACCTCCTCTATCACCGGCTCCTTTCCTTTCACTCGGACAGCCGTCACTACCCTCCGTTGCACCACCGGCTCTGTCGCATACCCCAGTTGTGCCAATACGTCTGTAACAATCATTGTTACCCCCGGGGTCCCAGAAGTGGTCGGATCTCTTTCCTTTCTCTTCTGCCTTTGCAGGCGTACCTGACGTTGCTCCACCTGGTTCAAACACCCAACTTCCACCCCTCTGTCAATGGTGGCCCAGGTGAGCTTGGTGCTACCTCCTCCATGCCTCGTCAACTCGATGGCCTCCGATGCCGTGAGTAGCCCCAGGAAGATGGCGCACTCTGCTTCCTCCGAAATCCCATGGACCTTCCGCGCCCTCTTCTTAAATTCTTGAACAAAGGCCCCTATCGTCGTAAAATCCTCTTTGTTCATCGTCTCAAGGTCCGCGGTAGTCAATGGCCCGTCTCCCAGGCGGTATTTCCTCTGCATCCCCTCCTTGAACCTCTCCCAGCTACCTTGGGCCGCATCTATGACTTTCTTCACTTCCTGGTGGTAGCTGTGGAGGACATACTGAAGAATGCGTTGAAATTTTACCACGTCCGACCGTCCGACCAAAGCTTGTTCCACCCGTTCCAGCCATTCCGAGACTCTTTCCCCACAAAAGTGGACGGTATCGACTTCAGGCATATTGCTCGGGTTCCTTTCATGCCTGTCAATAGCCGCTATGAGGTCATCGAGCGTCAAGCCCTTCTTGGGGGCACCCGATGCACCGCCGCCCTGCGACATCTTGCCAGACCTTTCTCTTGAAGCTTCCTAACAAAAAAAAAACAAGCACATCCCCTTATTCAGCATTACACCTTGACCGGTATTTTCCATCCGTCCTACCTAACTCTTACTACGTACCTTTCCCAATGTTACACGTCCGCCCTTCATACCTTCCCGTGCTCAGGTAGGTAAATTTCCTCACCTATACTTAGTCATTCATTATTTCTCCTCACTTTCTCGTCCTTCCTTTATGCCTTTCCTCACTCACTTTTCATACCCGGATGTCGTTCCACCAGGGACAACAGTAGGCTTTCCGTTATCCCCGGCAACGGCGCCACCTAACGAGCGCATCGGTCCGGCACCGCACCAGGGCAGCGCGGGACCTTCCCGGCCGTGTCACGCAGGAGTTGGTTTAAATCCTTCGTCGTAGACAATACATGTGGAGCTTCTTTAAGCCGCTCCGGCCGAGTGCGCCAGCCATACCTCTCGCGAGCCCCTACGACAGGATAGGGCCTACGCGAGGCACGACTTACCTACACCTCACGGGAGCTGTCACCTCCCTTCGGTGGGCGTATCC